CTCCTTTTTTTTTTTTTTTTTTTTTTTTTTTTTTGGAGATTGTTTTCTGTGTAGTCCTAGCTGTCCCGGAACTTGCTCTGTTGTGGCCTCAAACTCAAGAGTTCTGCTTGCTCCTGCCTTCTCAGTGCAGGGATTAAAGGTATAATATGCCACCACCTAGCTCCTGGGGCTATTTTTAATGCTCACGGGGAACTGTTTGTATAGTGAAAACTTCTTTAGCCATCTTTTACCAAGTTTTTACTCACTGGAAAACAGGACTGAGGGGCCCTGCCTGATGGAGGCCCAAGTTGAAAGAACTTCAAAGTCATTTGTCACCATAGAGAGGGATGTAGAGGGGACGGGGGCTCTGTGGGGCCTCTTTTGTTAAAATATAAGCTGGGGTGTTCACAAACCATATGCCAGGCCTGACGGAGCATGCTTGTAACCTCAGTTACCAGAGAGTGTGAGGCAGGAGGACCTCAAGTTCAAGACCAGCCTAGGTATCTTACTGAGTCCCTGTCTCAAAAGAGTAAAAAGAGTCGTGGGCAATGAAATTTGGTGGTAGAGCGAATGTCTAATACACATGAGTATCTACTTTCAATTCCTGTACTGCCCCCTCCCTCATCCCCAAAGGCCAAGAATCCACAGTGCAGCCAGCCCTCGCCTGGGTTTGCAGAGCCAACAGCAGTAGGTCTACGTCACAGAGTGTCATGAGAGGGGCAGCTCAGGCCACTTGCTGATAAGTCTGTTAGTGTTGGGGTGTCACATGTCTCCCCCTGCTGGAGTAGAGCTGGCTCTCGAGTCCACCCATAGCTCAGGTATGGGAACATTGTACCATAACAAAAGCAGTACCAGGCTGGGTCAGAAGCCATTGTGCCTGTGGTGGGTTAGGGTGGGGTCTTCAAGCCAGGTCCTGCTGAGCAGGAAGGCACCCCAGGCGGCAGATGTACCTATAGGTTCTGGCCCCTCCTGGTTCTGGTTGCTGGGGTGCAGTCAGACTCCCCAGGCTCGAAGCCTTGGGTTCTATCCCCAGCACCGCACAAAGCAAGCGTGACAGTGCAAACCTACACCCCCCACCCCCCATGGACGATACCTAACCTCAGAGTCCGCGCTGGTGACACAGGCTGTGGGTTAACTGAGTTAATTCATGGAAAGCACACAACACGGAGCCTGGCCCGTGGCAAATGCTGATGAATGTTAATTATTATTGTTACTATTATTGGTTACACTGGTGGAGCCTGGTAGTATGAGCTGACAGCATGCAGGAAGGTTACTGAGGGTCAAGTACTGCACAAGCCCAGAGAATGGCACCTTCCTAAGGGACAGTATATAACCCGCATAGCAGGAACACGGGCTTTGGGTGCCCTGGGTGGCCCTGTTCCAGTTTTAGACTAACAGGTGCCACTTGGAAAGGCGTTCTTTCATTAAGGGTGTCCTGGCAGGGGCGTTGGAGCTCAGCGGCAGGGTGTTCCCCTAGCATGAGCCACCACAAGAGAAAACACAAAGGACAAAGTGGAACTTTTTGAGTCAGCGTGGTCCCGCTCTTGAGTGGTGGATTTTGACCAAATTACTCTTTTCTGGGCTCAAGTTGCCCCCATGTTTTTTAAAGCCAGTGTGGAGAGGCCAGGCTAGTTCTAGGATAACAAATCAACTTTATCCTTGCATATGGGACTGATACTTGAAGCTCTGTAAAGTGAGAGGTCTGAGGCTACTCTTGGATGGGCAGGAGGGACTCTTGATTAGTAATGTCTGCACGGAGTCAGGCACAGCTACTGTGTGGCAAGTATGAACATACCTGCCTTGCTTAGATTAGCCTTGTGCTGGATTCTCAATCCTGCCTGCTGGTTAGAATCACTGGAAGAAAACCCTTTGATTCCAGGGATGTGGTTGGCCATTGAGAACTCTGGTGGACGAAGTTCCTTACGCTCCTTTCCATTTCCTGATCCTGTGACTTCGCTGACCTGGGGTCCTGCATTGTGCTCCTCAGAGCACGGTTTATCTTTGGAGCTCCATGTTCTCTGCCAGCAGAGCTGGAAGGGGCCTTCTAGTACATTCTCCCATCAGTTTTGCTTCTGAGCACAAAACAGAAACTGATGGTGTTGGTTACAATCAGGATGTGGAGTTACTATGATGGGCTCTTCCCAGGACATACGGAAAACTAGGGTTTTGCATCTGGGAGATCTTGTGACCCTAAGGGGGGGGGGGGAAGCCTGGTCTACTCTGCCTTAGGTCCGGCTGTTTCTTTCAAGCCATTCTGGTTGCCTGAGGTAGGAACTTGGGATGAAGAGGTCTGCTGAGGCCCAAGGAAAGGCAGTACACCTCAACATCCCAGCCACAGCTCTGACCTCCAGATGGAGTGTGAGGAGAGGGAAGGCGAAGAAAGCTGGTGGGCCCCTGAGTGCCAGGCGATGGGGGATCCTGGGCCTGGAGGTGCTGTATTAGGTGTGGGCAGCCCCGGATGCTGATTGCACCTCCAAATTAGGAGAGGTGACCCAGGCAAGATGTCCTGGGAGTCCACCTGGCTCGGCCCCTTCAGGGGACTTAGCATCCAGCCAGCTTTCCTCGATTCTCCTGTCACCCAGCCTAGGAATTTCCTGGAGTGATGGCCATGAAAGCTGTGCCTCCTGATGGGATACAGCTGGCTCCCCTTGGAGGGACGTAGAAACAATCAAGTCACATAGAATTCCGTCATATTTTAAAATAAGCTTTATTTAGATTTTTTTTAATATTTTATATTTTGCATCCATGCCTTCGAGAAACCTCTCCCATGGGAAAAGGTCTTTCTCATCTATTACCCATAACTCATTTGCTATTTGATGTGGTTCTCTCAAATAAATCATTCTTAGTAACTCTTGGGATGATCTCCTAATTTCCAAAAACTGAAATGTAAAGGAATGGCTAAGTCATTACTAGGAGTGGTTGCAATCTTATCTTCTTGTAAGTAAAAGGGGGGGGGGGAGTCATAAAAAAACAAACAAAAGAAAATAAAACACAAAACTCCAACGGGGGTGGGGGGATGTTTCCTAAGACCTCCCCCTGATGCCAGCTCTGGCCTCTCTCCCTCACCATCAGGCTGGGCTGGCTGATCAGCTAAGCTGAAGGACACAGGGACACTCCCTAGGTGTCCCTGCCTGCTCTCTCTCAGCCTCTGGGCTATGTTGGGAGGGAAGAGGGGACCTGGTGGGGGCTTTTTTTGGCTTGTTTTAGAGACTTTGGGCACAGGATCCTATACATTCCAGCACTGAAAACTCTTTAAGAGTTGAGAACGCTGCTGTTGGAGGCAGCGCCACAGTGGTCACATAAGGGTGTGGGCTCAGCTGTTAGTGGTTAAGGATCAGTAGAAAGGGGATCCTGGGGCAAAGAAAGGGGAAACTGAGGTTTAGGGGTGGGGCACGACTGGCTGGAAACTCTGGGTTCTCCATGCCCTGGTGAACCCCTGTTGGGGCAAACAGTATAGGTATCTGCCAGCCCTCATGGGATGAGCCTGCTTGAGCTGCTGATAGAATTGGAAGACAGGGCTCAGGGGATTCCAAGAGAGTCCATGTGTGGCTGAAGAAGCCAACTGCAAAAAAGAAGACAGAGGGCTTGCCTGCTAGATATCCTCCCTAACAGCCCTTCCCAGAAGATCGACATCTTCTCTGTTGACATCTGCCTGGCCCATGTGTGGAATAAACGAAGGATGGAGAGGTGTGCGTGCATGTGTGCCTGTGTGCCACCAGAGGCCTCTTACCCAACTGACTCAGGCCCAGATGTCTGATATCCTATGGATATGCCCCAGGCTATCCTTCCCTAGGCTCAATTAACATGGCTCCAAAGACAGGCCCAAGAGAAGAGGAACATGATTGTTAGTGCTCTGCTCACTGAAGTCACGGTCTGTATGTCAGATAAATAAATATATATAGAGAGAATATATATAGAGGAAGGCCAGAGCAGAAGGCGGGAGTCCTCTCATGCAGGGACAGCAGCCGGGAGAGACAGAAAAGAGAAAAGAGAAAAAGCAAGCTGGCCACCTGAGGTCCCCAGTTCTAGCCACCCTAACTCTACCTTGCACAGTGTCTGCAGCGGCATGAACACAGAATAGACAAGTCAGCAGAAACGCCCGCCTCCCGCCCACCCCGTGGAAAAATATACATTCCGATATTCACGTAATAATTTAGATAGAATACGTTTTTCTGCATTTGTGCAAATAAATTAAATGCAACAGTTTTCTTTCTCTCTTTTTGTTCCATAAAGAAAGAAACAGCAACACAATTTAAAAACAGGCAGGCCATTAAAAAGAGCCCCTATAAACACTGTAGCCCAGCCAAGACTTCTTGGTTGGGCTCATGAGTCTCTGCAGTGACCTAACCCTGACAATGGTGACGGGGTGTTTTTTGTGGTTAAAGTGACTTGGGAACACCCCGAGCGAGAACAGGGTCTGGCCCCACACGTTCACACCAGGGGTTGGGAGGAGGGGGCACATGGAACACAGACCACATCCTTGGTAACATGGGCTGCAGTAGCGGCTGGACAAGGGACTTTACAAGCACAAAGTGCACACTATGTTCGTTATTTACAAATACACAGCAGTCCTTCAAGTGTTCAAGTTTCATAAAAAGGAGGAGGGAGGAGAAGGGGGAATTAAAAACAAAAATACAACAGATTGAACAAACAAAGAAACAAACAAAAAAACCCAAAACATTGAAAAACAAAACAAACAAACACAACTGTATCGCTCGGAGACAACAGTTGACAAGAGTCACACACGGTTTGTGGTATGTACATCGATTACAGAGGTGGCGACGCGGAGGGGGGTGGGGTCACATTTGTGTTTCTGCCTGTTCTAGGCACTCAGTTACACACACCCATGTGGGTGAGTGCACCCGTGCACACGCACCCCACGCAGGCCCCGAGCCCCCATGCACACATGCTCACACGCTCCACGGCTCATCCACACACAGACACGCCCATGGGCAACGGGCGAAGGGCGGTGGGTTATCACCAGTCCGCATCTTCCTCTATGTAATAATCAGGGGCGGTACCATCAAAGAGGCCCGGGTCGAGGGACTTCCGTTGCTTCCCTCTGGCGAAGACTCGAGAGATGGAGCCGAATCCCATCTTCTCTTTCTTCTTTTTCCGTTTTTGGTCTTCAAGATCCTCTAGTGACTGAGGCAGAGGGAGAAGAACAGAGGTAATCAATCTTAGCCCTGCGGGAAGGATAGTAGCGGATGGAAGGGCAGGGGGGAGGCTTTCCAAAGTCATGGTCCAGGTCACGGTGGGGCATGGAAGCTGGGCTCTGGGGCCGGAAGTCTAGGGGTCTGTCCCTTATCCTCTGAGCAAACCCAGGCTAATTTTAAAGTCTCTTATAGACAGTACCAAAACCCACTCAAAATGTCCGCATGCATCGCTGATGTAAGGGAAAGACACTTAGGATGGATCCTGCCATGAATGCCATGTAGTGGCCAGGGGTTGTTCCAGTTGCCTGCACTGTGACTGTCCCTTAAGTTCACTCGGAAGACTCAAGGGCCTGCAGGAACACATCCATGAGTTTGACTACTGCCTGTGGTCACTCTGATGCAGGGTGGACAGGCTATGTGCAGAGCTGACCTAGTGACAGGGCCAGCCTAGGAACTCTACAATGACCTTGTAACTGGGGGTTTGGGGCAGTACCTGCAGAAAGCTTCACAAATGGCTAAACGCTTTATGCAACGACATGTGGCACTGTTATTATTGCTGCTGTTGTTATTACCTACAGAAAGGGTACGGCACACTCTAGACTCAAGGCTCAAGGAACACTTTAGAATATCTTGGAATGCAGCCCCTGCTCCCAATCTGGGCTGGAATCTCCACTGGGTAGAGCCCAGGAATTTGCATTCAAGATGTGTGTAGTCTTCTCTAGGGGAGCCCTAAGCAGATGGATGGCTCATAGCCAGAAAATAGGAAACACCATAGGTAACATGAGAGATGCTGCTCAAGTTCCCACTGGTCCACTGCCTGTAGTTCAGGTGCCAGCACACCTGTGACTCAGAAGGCTTCCAATCCTCTCTTCCTTGGGAGTTCAAAAGTGGCTTCAGGGTGACTGAAGGGTCTTAGCAACGAGGCTGCAAGAGTGTTGGGGGATATTCCTTTGTGCTGTGTGACGATGTGTCACTGTGGCTGGCAGGACTTCTGGGGACAGAGAGGGCTCAGAGGAAGAAAGGTGGAGTCTCCAGACAGAATCCGAGGAAGCAGGGTGGGCAGTACAGAGTAACGGTAACTGAGCCTCGTAAAAGTCGATTATAAAATATGGGCTTAATTGAAGTTATGGGAACTAGTCAGGAACAAGCCTAAGCTAAGGCAGAGCTTTCATAATTAATAATAAGTTCCCGTGCCATTATTTGTGTGCTGCCGGCCCAGAGGAAAATCCGTCTACAGAAGAGGGTCAGGCTGGGGTGGAAGGAGAGTGCTGGGAGCCAGGGAAGCCACACCTACCTGTACAATAGGACTGTGCAGGCTCTTCTGAACCGGGCCGGGACTGTCGCCCTGTAGCCAAAAGAGAAGATGATGAAGCAGCAGACACGTGACACATGAGTGCACAGGTGGCCCATGAGGATGGATGAGGATGGGGCAGGGTCTTCCCTGGAAGGAAGCCACCAACTCCTCCAGGGCGGCCCTGCCTCTAAAGTAGATTCTTACCCTGACTGATGGGGCCCGGAGCTCACCAGACATCAGGTCAGGGGACCTGAGGAGCTTGAAGCTCTCCTGCCTGCTCTGGCCTTTCAACTCTTAAGCCTTTGAGGTTTAAATTCCTGTCTTAACTGGTTCAGGTGTTCAGATGGGAGGTTGGATCTGCTAGGTGTTTTTTTTTTTTTCTTTCTTTCTTTTTAAATAAAGACATCAACTGTAACGAAAAAGCATCCCAACGGGGAGGGAGTTGAGATCAGTGGTAGATGCTTGCCTAGCAAGCCCTGCCTGGGTTCTACTCACTGAAAAGGAAAAGAAAAAAAAAAGTTTAATAACCAATCAGACAATTGACTCGGGAGACCACACGGTCACTAAAACACCCTGAAATCAACACAGCAGCTCTCTTATTTTGTGGAGGGGCTGCCCGGAACCTTTAGTAGGATTTATGTATAAACAGGAGTCCGCCAACAATCTTACAGAGCTAATAACAAGTAAGAGTTGGTACTCAAATTTGGGGTGTCGGATTTCTCCTGGCTCCATGCTTTTTTAAGATGGTGTTCTACATGCTGGATCCTGACTGCCTGGGAACCTGTTCACCCAGGTCTGGGCTCTTTAAATTCTTTCTCAGGAACATGAGATAGCCTGTGGGTAGGTAGGATATTTTCATGGATTGCCAACCGTGATCCAAATGGGTAGGGAAGGGACCCTTAATACCCTGTGAATGTGCAAAAGTTTTTACTACATCCATGAATCACATTGGCCCTACCTGGGAGCAGAAAGCCCAAAGATTACAAAACGCATTACTAGGGAGACTCCTAGCGGTTGTTTCTGGAATTGCAGGCACGGGATTGCCCATGAAGACATAAACACAGACCATTGACTCCTAATATCCGGAATCCTCATTTCTGCTCTAATTAGTGGTCAGTGTGAGCTGTTCAGTCTATGTTGATCTTGTTGGTACCAAGTCAGATCTCTGAGGATAGAGGGATACCTGGAGCCATTTTCTGACTTTTTAATTTACTCATATGCACACCGGTTGAGATGGGAAATAAGGGGAGTTTGGAAAGAGCTGTCAAATGGTAGCTCATCCTGTGGGCACGTCTGTCAAAGGATGTCTGCTTAAGACTGAGAATCTCCACCTGCGTGGTAGGAGGGTAGGGCCCTGTCCACTATGGTCCTTGCAATTGAAAAATGGATGATAGAGACCTTGGAGTGGTCTCTTTGGTCTGTCAGCCTCATCCCCAAGACTAGACAAGAGAAGTCACACTGCTTCATCACAGCCTCCAGAAAAGAAGGGACCCTAGCCCTGCCATGGGCAATGTGTAGCTTCTGGGCCAGTAATCTAATGGCTACCCAAGAAGGCTATGATGCCTCTTTCAAGTTTAGTCTTAGCGATTTTGTGTCTCTCTGTGTGTATGTGGGTACACACATGCGTGCGTGCACATGTGGATGTAATTGAACTGTGAGTGTGTGTGAGGCCAACTTTAGTGTTATTCCTCAGGAGCCATGTCATTCCACTGTATTCTGAGATGGGGTCTTTCACTGGCCTGAGCTCACTGATCAAACAAGGCCAGTTGGCCAGGGAGCCCAGGGATCTTCCTGTCTCTACCTCCTCAGTGTGGGGATTACAAGCATACACCACTGTGTCTGGCCTTTTTATGTGGATCCCGGGGATTCAACTCAGCTCGTGTTTGCTTCAACAACCGAGCCATCTCCCCAGCCCTTGTAATCATAGCCACTTTTATAGTAAGCACTTTTCATGCTTACTGTGGATGGGGAAAAGTTCCCCTAGCTTGCACCCATGAAGCTGTTGTTTTTCATAACCATCTGTACCCACTTATTAGGGGTTCTCATAGCACGCCCCTCTCCTGAGTGTCCTAAACAAATAATCACACGGTCAGCAAGTTCTGTTGGTTAATACAGCAGTATTAACTCGAGCTTCTGAAAAATGCCTCCCCACGCTGGTGAGATTGCTCAGTGGTTAAGAGCACGTGCTACTCTTGCAAATGACCTGGGTTCAGTTCCTGGCACCCACATGGTGGCTCACAACCTTCTATAAGGCCAGTTCCAGGAGTCTGATGCCCTCTTCTGGCCTCCATGGGCACCATGCACACACATGCAGGCAGAACACTCATGCATATAAAAATAGGAAGAAAGGAAGGAAGAAAGAAAAAGCCTTCTTAAGCATCTGAAGACACTTCAGTGTGGCATCTGTCATTAGGACATGGCAGGGAAGGACATGATAACCTCGGGGTTATCAATTATTTATGTTGATGGGACAAAAATTCAAACTGGCCCCCACCTCTGACCTTCCATTCCTCTCGGAGGCTGACATGGATTTCAGCCATCCACTGACGTTGGGGCCACCAGCTTGGGAGCTGCAGTGGCATGGCTACGGTTTCAGAGCGTCTTCCAAAGGTTTGTTGTATCAGAAGCCTGGTCCCCAGTGTGATGATGTGGGAAGTAATGGGACCTTTATGAGTAAAGTATAACAGGAATCGTTTCTTTCATCCGTCTCTCAGCCTCAGTCATTTTGTTACAGTAAGTGAAAAGTGAGCTAAGACAGAGCTACTGGAGGGCTCATTCCTCTTAGATGCTGGCGTCAGTACATAATAATAATAAAAAAAAAAATGACTAGAAAAGTAAGACAAATTCACAGGCCCTCTCTGCAGAGGCCAAATATGTCCCCAACTACTGGCATCTCAAAATTAAAACACAGCAATTTGTTTCATTCCAGGGTGGAAGATGAGAGCGGGTGCTGCAGGGGACAGGTGGTCCTGTAGTCAGACCCAAGGTCCCAGGCAGGGCCCAAGATGGGGTGCACTGGGCGGGGATCCAGGCTGCGCAGACCCTCCTCGCCCTCCTGGACACAGGAGGACACAGGCCTCATGTCTTTCTCTCCCCACTCCTCTGCTTCTCGCAAAAGGAAAGAACAGAACGGGAAATGCCTTCGCCACAGCGTTCCCTGGGTGGACGAGAGGAAAGAGCGGGCACATCTTTATCCCACCCCGTGGCCCCGCCGTTTCTGGGCAGGGCCCAAACGCCCGGGCCCTGCTGCTGCTGGCCTTACGTTGCAGAGGGAGTGTGTCCGGTGTCTTGGGGAGTTGATGTCGCTCGGTGTCGATGACCGGTCACCTTCAGCAGCAGATGCATCGGAGATGACGGAAGGCTGCCTTGAGTGGCAGGGGCTCACCCTGACGGCTGGAAAACAGGGACAGCTGGTGAGTGAGTGACACAGAAAAGACCACCGGACACACCCATTACAAGGACAATAATGCTGAGACACAGTGAAGTGTGGTGGCCAGCTCTTCCCCTCTGTTCCCGGGCTTGTTCTTGGGGTAGCTGCTGAGAAGAGCCCCCCCCCCTTTGGATCCAGCTCAGCCCCTCCTCACCCGGGGCGGGGGGAGAGAAGGGTCTGTGAAGTCTCAACCTGAATGGTTCGAGATGCTATGCAATCCTAACCACAGCTCAATAGCAGAGTCCCAGACAAGAACCCTGCCCCCTCCCTCCAGGCTCCTGCCAGCTCCTTTCTTTCCCTAGTGTCCCTGAAACACAGCCAAGGCCTTCTACTCTCCTAGCCCATGGCAACTGACACCTGTTCCCTTGAAGACCAGGGTGGCCTCCCTGCCTCCACTCCTCACAGTGAAGCCAGAGCCATAGGCTTTTGGCCACTCTCTGGGTGAAATGCACACTCTCCTCCACCTGGCCTACGAAGGCCAGCATTCGTAACCCTTGGGCACCTCAGCAGCCAGGGCTCAGTCACTTACTCCCTGCAACATTAGTGCATGTATGTGGAGGCCAAAGGCTGACAGGGGTCCTGCCACACTCTCCTTTTTAAAATTCACTTTTTTTTTTAATGTGTATGCATATGTGTATGTGTGTGCTTCCTTGTGTGTGTATGTACACCGTGTCTATGCAGTGCCCTTAGAGGACAGAAGAGGGCGTCAGATCTCCTGGAACTACAGTCACAGGTTGTGAGTCTCTATGTGGGTGCTGGGAACCGAACCCAGTTTCTCTGCAAGAACAGCCATTGATCTTAACTGCTGAGCCATCTCTGCGGCCCTATCTACCCTGTTTTTTTTCAGACAGGGTCTCTCACAGACCCTGCAGCTCACAGATTCTGCTAGACCAGCTGGCTGGCCAGCGAACCCTGGGACCCTCCAGGCTTCACTTCCTTAGGGCTGGGATTACAGGTGCACATCGCCACACCCAGCTTCTTACCTTCTGAGGACCGGACTCAAATCCTCAAGCTTCTGCATCTGGAACTTTACCAACCGAGCCACCCTCCCAGTTCCCTTTGCGGCCTTACTGCCAGGCTTTATTTATTTACACAAGCATTTACTTCCCGGGCTCTCGGTGTCTGGCTCTCTGTAGGCACTGGATAAAACAGTGGTAGCATGAAAGGTCTCGCTCAGGAGCCGCAGCTCAGAAGCCCTTTGGGCCCTGCTGTAGGTCTCTCTCACATGTCAGTGGGAGTACCCTACAGAGGGGATGTTATTACCTGGGCACCCGCTCCATGCAGACATTCCTCATAGACAGTCCTTGCCACCAATGACCACGCGGCCCAATGGGGAAGCTGCTGGTTGGTGGCTATGAGTCAGTTCTGATCTAGGCGAGTTCCTTTATAGGCTGTACGGTCCTGGGCATGCTCCTCACCCTCTCTGAGCCAATTCGATTATGTGCACCATGGAGGTGCCTTGCCTGGTTGGTTTTTTGTGCCAACTTGACACAAGCTAGAGCCATCTGGGAAGAGGGACCCTCAATTGAGAAATTGCCTCCTTCAGACTGGCCCGTAGGTGTGGGAGCCATATTCTTGACTGATGACTGACGGGGAGGGGCCTGGCTCACTGTGGGTGGTGCCACCCCTGGGCTGGGTGGTGTAAGAAAGCGAGCTAGGCGAGCCACAAGGAGCAAGCCAGGAAGCGATATTCCTTCTTCCATGGTCTCTGCTTCAGGTCCTGCCCTCACTGCCCTTCATGAAGCTGCAAGCTGTCAGACGGAACAACTCTTTCCTCTCCAAGCTGCGTGTGCCATGGAGCACACCACAGCAACACAAAGCAGAGGAAAACAAATGCTGGCGACAGCCTCTCTGAAGCGCGCGCGCGCGCGCGTGTGTGTGTGTGTGTGTGTGTGTGTGTGTGTGTGTGTGTGACACATGCCACACGTAGGCATTGCAGTAGGAAGGGGAAAGGAGCCATGGTGCTAAATGCCTTCCCAGTGACGGCCTGGTGTGGAGGTGGGTCACCCCGTGCAGGTAAACAAGTTACAGCAGCACGGACAAAAGCTGGGGGAGCACAGTCAGGGAGAGGGCCTGGAAGCTCTGAGAAGAAATGTTTAATATAAAGCTCCCAGGTGGCTACAGGAGAGGCAAGGCCGCAGAGAAGGAAGGGCCTAGAGGGCAGATCCCGCCCGGCTAACCATGACTCAGCATCACACAAGGTCCTGCAGCCTCAGGAGTGGTGATCCAAAGTGCCTCCCATTCCATTAATTCCTAAACGGTTGCAGACTCCGCCCACCCACCTTCTACAGTACCTCTGCCTCCTTCCTGCCACCAAGGTGGACCAGAGGCTGGGGAGACACCTGGGTCTTAGGAGTAATTAGGTAGCTACCCCTGGGGCTCAGCATCCCTGGGGCAGAGCTAGAACTTAAGTTTGACAAGGTCTTCAGTTGTGACCTGGCTCCAAGGCCTGCTGCGCCACCTGCCTCACCCGGCCCCGCCCCCAGGGCTTGCAATGAGCAGCTGCGGTCTCCATTGGGTAGAGAGGCAGGCTGAGTCTGTTTACAAATGGGGGTCTGCAGTGTGTATCCCCTGTCAGTGCTGACAGGAAGGGGCAGCTAATATTTACCAAGGCCCTGATGTGGGAATTCTGTACACTTTACCTTTCTGGCAATCCTGGAAGGGAGGGCTCAGCAAACAGACACATATCACACACTGTGCATTAAGAATGCGGCAACCCTCCTACCACAAGAACGGATGACCCTTGTATCGGGTCAGGGGTCACATCTTTTGTAAGTAGCAGATCCAGGATATGATCTCAGCAGTGTGAACTTGTGCTGTGCCCCTCCCGCTACGGCTCAACAGCCTTACCCTACATGCTCCAACCGTAGGCAGCCCTGGACCCGTGTAACTCACTGTCTGTGGCTTCGTGTAACCCGCCGTGGGCACCTGCAGGGCCAGTTTTATGACAGCCCCTAGAGGAACCCTTAAAAGAGTCAGGTGGCTCACTGATGCACAATGGGATGGCAAGGAGTCAGGGCTGGAGTGTGTAGCACAGGCAGTGGGAATGGATGCCAGGCGCAAACACATGTGACATTTACACATTTTCTATATAACCTATGGACTGGCTACAACTGTCATTCAAGGAGCTCAGTACCCTCCCCTGCTGAAGGATGCCTGGGTGACTCGGGCTGACTAATCATAGCGCTGGCTCTCCCAGACACTGCGATTCCTTCAGGGGTGGCCATGTAACCCAAGCTGGCCAAGCAGGGTAATTAGTTTTACTTCTCCTTAGGCACAGCTGAGCGTCTGGACCAAGCTACGCCTGAAGCCCATCTCTTAGTGGGTTCAGTTATGAGCGTGAGTCATAGTCTGTCCTGTGATACCCCAGGCTGATGGAGTGTGAACAAAAAAGCCGCCTTTCCCACTGGGCCCAGCGGCCTCCCCTATTGCTGGACAAGGCCGGGTAGGACTCACCTTGCCGGTCTGCAGGGTGGGGAGGGTGGGAGTGGTAGAGAGTCTGCTGGCTCTGACGGATGGCGGCAGTCAAGGGGAGGTCCGCCTGAACCACCCATTCCTGGTTGCCATTGAGCACCGTCTCACCAGGCATGGCGAGTGAATGCCGCTTGGGAACGTCCTTGGTCAGCGTGGCTAAGGACTGCTTGGCCTGGAGAAAGAGTGGGAGACAGGAAGAAGAAATGTAACCAGAGGGGACCTCTCAGGCAGTTGCCTGGTACCTCTTACCCCCGTGGCAAGAAAGCCAAGAATTCTGCTTCCATACCAGCAGTGTGGTACAAGCCGTGTGTCTGTGACACAGGTGTCACCCACGTTCATCGGGGTCTCACCTTTGGTTGTCATTAAGAGCAAAGCGAGACCCCCGTATCAGGGAGAAGGAAGCAAGCACACAATCATCATTTCCGAGTTCTCCAAGACAAGCAAGGATTCTTTGTGGGTGCACGTGTGTACACGTGCATGTGTGTGTGGCGGTTGCAGGTTAATGTTAGGTGCCATTCCACAGGAGCAACCCACCTTGATTTTTTAAAAACATGGTCTGTCTCTCAGAGGAGCTGGCTGATTAGGTTAACGGTGGTTGGCTAGCAAGTCCCAGGGATCCTGTCTCCACCTTTGAACACATATTCTAAAGAATCGAACTCAAGTCTGCATGCTTGAGGAGCAAGCATTTTATCAACAGAGCCACTCCTGACCACACCCGGGATTCTGATGGGACTAAGAACATGGTGTAGGGGTGTTCCTGGGTAAACCTGGTAAAAAGCACATCTGAGATTGAGTTTGGGAGGAGTGAAGGTCATAGACAGAGATGCCATCTGTGAGACTGCCTGAAAGCACCTAAACACCCCAGGACGACAGGACAGCCTCACCCTATGTATCCAGTCCCCGCTGGCAATAGAAAGGGTGGCTGCCACGCAGAATACATAGCAATAAGTATTATTAGTTCAGAAGAACAGGGCTGGTCGAAGACAAGCCTGGTGTGATCTGGGATCCATGGGACAAGGCTCGTCGTAGTAGGGGAAGCGCCACAATCATAATGCCACATGTGGGGTTGGGGGTGGCGAGACTGTCTCTGCGAAGGCCACAGATCCTCTCTGCCACCTGCCTCAGAGACCCCTTAGTGATCTCCCCGCTCCACCTGGGTAAGCGGGATGTTATCAGACAGGGTCTTACGTGTGCTGCGGGAGAAAAGGAGCATGCGTTAGACATGGAGTCCCGCATACTCTCTCTGTTAATCGTTTTCTATGGCTTGGGCAGCTCTCCAGGCTCCTGCAGGGCAGAGGAGGCTAAATGAGGAGTGCAAGGAGACAGGGAAAGAAAGGCCCACCATGTTCTCTCCTTTCTCCCAGACACAAACACAAGGCAGAGGACCACCCAAGCCAAGCCACAGAAGCAGCCTTTCGGGGCAGCATAGGAAGAGGCCCAGGCACCAGGCCCTTCCATTCCCACTTGCTTTCTCCCCTGGGTGATGAAGGGCCTCACCTCTGTCTGGGTTAGGAGTGGCGCCCCTATGTGGAGCGAAACATCACTACCCGACTAATGAGAGATCCCTTAGGGCTTCCGTATCTACATCCCCCTAGGCACTGAACACAAAAGCCTCTCATGCTGTCCACCCAGGACTTAAAATCTCTGAGGAAGATTTCCAGAAAAAAGAGAGAAAGCAAGGAAGAAAGGAAGGAGGAACGAAGAAAAAGAAGAGAACAAAAGAGAGAAAAGAAGGGAAAGAAGGAGGGATGAAGAAAGGAAGGAAGGAGGGAGAGGGAGGGGGATGGGAGGGACAGGGAGGGGAGAGAGGGAGGGGATGGAAGGAGGGGAGGGGGAGGGGAGGGAGGAGGGAGAGATGGAGGGAGGGGGAGGGGAGGGAGGAGGGAGAGGGAAGGGGAGGGAGGAGGGAGAGGGAGGGAAGGAGGGGAGGGGGAGGGGAGGGAGGAGGGAGGAGGGAGGGGGAGGGAAGGAGGGGAAGGGGAGGGAGGAGGGAGGGAATCTCCTGGATAGAGGTGAGCTTCAGAGGCGGTGGGCATGTGCTTACTCAGGCTGCGTGGACCGTCTCTGCAGCAAGCCACACAGCCTGTCTGACTAATCACTTCCACTACACACAACTCGATGCTGGGAGTTCCTCTTAAGCTCTGACCTCCTCCTACTTCTCTCTGGGCCTCCACCCTCCCCTGACCACCCTGAACCTGGAGCATTGAGCCCTTGGGAATTTCCAAGTTAGAATGACTATGCTCTCATGACCAAAGTCCAGCTGGCGCTCGCTTGACCTCTGCTGCTTTGGAACCTGTTGCATGGAACCTGAACATCCCTCGGCTTTGTACTGTGCGTGTGTGTCCTGACTTCCTTCCGGAATGCCCATGTGCTTCTTCCAGGCAGAGTTGCCCTCTGCTGCCTACGATTTCTGTGACTTGTGCTCTCTGAGAGAACTTCTCGTGTTGGCCTTGACCTCAGAGCAGAAAGGTCTGGGGCTGTCCATAGCATAGCTTGAAGTCAAGGGACGAAGGGGATGTGCAGTCAGAGGGACATCATGGGTATGTGCAAAGCACTTCCCTCTGCTTCTCCGAAGTATTTCCTGCTATGGTGCCCCAAGCCTGCAGTGGCAGAGGGTCTGAAGGGAGGAGGGTGGAGCTGAGTGTTTTTGGCCAAAGCAAAGCAGGCTGTGTCAGTATGTTGGGAGCAGAAGTCAGAGGGGCTATTCCCTAGTACAGGGAACAGCAGGGAACCCATACTGAGGCCATGGCTCAAAGCACCAAGATGTACTTCATCTAAATGTCCACAGGGCCCTGGGTGATCTGGGCACACAGGGTCCCCCTCAGGGCTGCAGGAACAAACAGCAGAGGCATTCTTCCTGCCTGGATGGCTCTCACCACTAGGGGTCAGCATTGCACAAGGCAGCTGTCCTGCTCAGGGTGGCTTCACTCTAGTTTTGCAATCCTGTCATCACCATACACAGATGCCATGGTAGCTATTTCCCTTGTGTTTCGTTTGCATCCTCCCCAAAGCCCTACAGGGCATATGCGAAGGATCCCTATGTGGGATAGAGGCCAAAAGGGTCAAACACCCCAGCGGAGGGCTGTAACTGCTCTGCAGGACAATATATCCCACCACTCAAGAGTCACACAAGGGGGTGGGGTGGGGCTCACTGGGTAAAGGTGCTTGCTGTCAAGCCTGATAGCCTGAGTTCAATCCCAGGACTCCTATGGTAGGAAGAGAACTAACTCCAACAAGCAGTCTTCTGATCTCTCAATCCATCTTTCTTTTTCACTTAATGACCTAAGAAAGACAATTTTGCTATAAATACATTTGGGCCAAAAGCCTTTAAACAGCCTGCATAAAATAAATAGTTGATACACATATAGGTATATGTTACATACATACATACATACATGTAAATATATATATGTATACATAGGTAGCTATTGCCATTTGTAATCCTAGACTCAGATGTTAATATTTTGTGTGTGTGTGTGTGTGTGTGTGTGTGTATTTCTTTCCAGATATTTTCCCAAATAATTATGATCATTTTGAACCAAAAAATGTCCTCTCATCTTCCCACGTTGGGGAATATGGTCAAGTGAGGCCTTTGAGGCCTCCTAGGTCCCTATGCTCCTGGGCTTGAGGAAGTCCCCAACTCATGAGTGGTATGTAGCCCACAGCTGTCCCTTAACCCAGGGGCTTTGGGTGGCTCAGGCTGCTCCTCAGTTGCCAACCTCAAAGCCCTAGTAACAGCCTGGGCTACTCCAGCGGGTGGTGAGCTCACCATGGCTAACTCGGCCTCCAGCTCCTTCATGCGGTTGTCCTTGAGGTCCAGCTGGGAGCGCAGAGCTGCAGCGTGGTCCGTGGCCTCCTTGGCCTGCCGTCGAAGCTCCCACTTCTCTCGTTCGAGCAGGTCCTTCTCCTTGGCCAGCGCTTTGACGGCGTCCTCACTCTCCTGTGGCGGGGATGAGAGAGAGGGGTGAGTTGCAGGGTGGCATAAGGGTGGATGGAGGGCTCATGGGGGCGGGCAGGGAAGTGGGGAGCCCGCAGCACGTGGCTGGGAGTCCTGGTAGGAGGTGGGAAGGTTTATGGGGTGAGCACCCTGGACTTCTCAGAGAGCAGCCCCCCCCCCCCCCACACACACACAAGTGAACCTGGGTAAGGCATGTCTCTACGGGACAAATGGGAGCAGAGAAAAAAAAAACGATGTTTTCAAAGGTGGAACAACTTCCTGTGGGGAAGACAAAGTGCAATCTGATAAAAGTTGGGGTGAAAGGGGTTTTCTTTTTTCGTTGCTGTTTTGCCTGAGGCATTTTGTGTTTTGAGTCAGGGTCTCTATGTAGCCCAGGCTTGCCTCCTCCTCTCTATGTGGCTGAGGACAATCTTGAACTTCTGATTCTCCTGCCTCGATTCCCAGGTGCTGGCCCAGTTTCTGTGGTGCTAGGGATACCCAGGGCCTCACACATGCCAGGCAATTACTCTGCCAACTCCACATTCCCAGCCCCTGGGGCCATTGTTTTTGCTGGATGAACTATGTCAGAGCAAAACAGGTACAAAAAGGAACCTGGGGCGGCAACTGTCTGGGCTGCCACAGGGCCCCTGTTGTCACCCCACAAGGGCACAGCTGATGGGACACTCAGTAGCCTGCCTTTTCACATCCCAGGAGGAGCACAAGGGTCCCTAAGTGGGACAGAGGCCGAAAGGGTCAAACACCCCAGCAGAGATCTGTGACTGCCTTGGCTGGCACCGGCAACCCTGCAGGACAACACATCCCACCACTCACTCACCTTAGGCCCCTCTCAGCTTCCTGTGTGAACCGTGGCTGCCAGGGGGTGGTGCCAGACAGGTGTGGGGTGGCCGACTCTGACCTCTGAACAGGGGTGACTGCAACTCTGGTCTTGTCAAGAGGTGGTCCTTGGGGGAGCCCAACCCATCCCACCAGACCACATCTAAAGCTGATGTAAGGATTTGCCCCCTCACCCCCACGGCCCGGAGCAGTGGAGAATGGCCACCATCCTGTCTGACATGATAGCTCTGTCCTTGAAGGTTAGCCAAGATGGTCGGAGCAGGAGGCCAAGGGGGACTTGCTTTTCTTCGTGGATGTGGCTTCCACAGTGTACAGCACTGGCTAAAGGTCTAGAGAAAACCCTGTCTCTTTAAATTGCTACATGTCAGCATGGCTTCAGTTTCCCCTCCCCTTGGATGTATTGTGGAATGTCCCTGTGACCTGGAGCTCGGCCCAGAAGCTTCACACTCCCTAGGATCCCTGTTCATGCCTCCGCTTCCAAGAAGCCTTCCCTGACCACCCAGTGGCCTCTCCAGCCAATACTTACTCACACCTGACACTCAGACACCTGAGCAGACACAGCCAGACAAAACTGGACTGTAAGACCCAGAGCAGAGCTGACCACTCCAGGAGCTCTGTTAAGTGCCACCCCGGGGAGCTGGCTGGTGATTTCTTTCTTTCCTTTTTTTCTTTTTTGGTTTTTCAATACAAGGTTTCTCAGTCTTGCTTTGGAGCTTGTCCTGGAATTAGCTCTGTAGACCAGGCTGGTCTCGAACTCAGAGATCCGCCTGCCTCTGCCTCCCGAGTGCTGGGATTAAAGGTGTGCGCCACCAACACCCGACTCTGGCTGGTGATCTTGAGTTAGGAGAAAGACCCACTAGGACCTTGGGATCCTTTTCATTTCTGAGTTTTTGTTTACTCTGCTGCTTGTGAGCAGATGAGGGCCCTAGGCTAGGTACAAAGGGTCTTCAGGTGTTGTGACGAATTGTTCCCAGGCAGAGGCTAGCAGGCACTGCAGCAACAGTCACAGGATATCCGGGCAAGTGCTGCAGGCTCTGCAGGCATGCCTGGATCAGCCTCATAGGTTCAGGTGGAGACTCCAATTATTTGTTCCTGTTTCACAGAGGGGTAAACTGAGGCTCAGAGGAGAAACACCCTCAGCCCACTGCTGATAACAGAGCCAGGAAAGAGACTCGTGGAATTCCTTCCCTGGGGATCTGAAACTTGATAGGGCCTGGGGGCTATAGGGGTTTACGAGGGCAGGACAACGCTAGGGCAGTTAAGGCCTTGCAGGCTAGGTCAGGTCAGGGGCCTGTGGCGAGAGGCTACAGAGGACAAAGGGGGCGGGGAGGTGGTGGCAGCAGAGGGTCACCCTGTGTCTAGCTCTAACATGGCTGCCAGGCCGGCTATGAGGACACCTCCAGCTGGGTTTGTGGACAGTTCTCTGAGGCACTCAGGGGACAGGGTGTGTGTCACTGGCACAGTTTTCTGGGATGTTGTAATTCTGAGAATTTGCTGGTCAGGCCAAGTCCTATCTTTGTCAGCAGCTTTGTGCGGTGCCCACCTGTTCCAGCTGGTGTCTGTAGGGGTCTTAGGGTCCTAGAGCCAGTAGGCCATGGGAAGTTGAGAGCCTGCAGCCCAGTGGCTGGGGACCCAGAGAGTTCTATTAATACTGTTCATTTGGTTCCTACATAAAAGGCAAATTCTGTTTGCCAGAAAAAAAACAGGGATCCAGCTTCTACAAAGTATCTCTAAGTATGTGGTAGAGCACCTGCCTAGAATCCCCCAGTGAGGGGCTGAGGTGCCAGCTCTGTGCTAGCATGCCTGCCTGGAATCCCTTAGTAAGGGGCTGGCTTGAGTGCCAGTTCTGTGGTAGAGCTCCTGCCTAGCCCCCATAATGAAGGTTCTGAGTTCAACCCAAACGCCACAAGAATCCATCTGTCTTGATCAGTCACTAGACCCTTAAGCATCTCAGTCTTGCTGTCTGCACAGTGGGCCTAAGCTACCAATGACACAAGGTCATTCCGATGAGACTTCCCCTGGCTTCCCTAACCTGAATGCAAACAGGGGGCAACAGCTGGACAACAGAACAGGCAGGTGGCCCCTCTGCCTGCTGCTTAGAGCCACTGGGCCACAGACAGGAAGAGATTTGCAGGCCAGAGACGTGCCAGCGCGAGTCATGGGTGACGACTACAGCAAGCATGTGACAATCATGTCGATTCCAATCCAGCCTCTGCCATCTGGCCTCTAACTGCTGCTCAGCAGTGGCCTCCCTGCCTGGGTCCATGGTGTGGTCTGCCACCACTGCTATTGTAGAGAGCCACTCAACCCTGCCATCCCCAAAGCTGCAGGCTGCATTGTCTGTTAGGTATGAATCGGGAAGGCCTGTCACAGTCTCTGGTTTTGCATGCTTGTTCCCCAGCTGGTGTGACGCCTTCAAGAAGTGGGACCTAGAGGCGAGCCTCTGCAGGCTACACTGCCGTGTTTCCCTCCAGCCTTTGGACTCTGTTTCAGGTCAGCCATGATGTGAGTGCAATCCCACGCTGCTCACTCCCACTGCCATTAACTCCCCTACGGCTCCCCCTCCGCGATGGCCTGAAACCACAAGCCCAAATAAGTCCTTCCTTCAAGTTGCTCCTGCCAGGCATTGGGGACACAGTGACACACAGGGAACACGTATATGATCGAACGTCGGGTTCCGGAAATACTGACACAAGTCCCTCGGCCATGCAATCCACAGACTCCTCCTCATCCCTCGGAGCCCAGAGCGGTGAATCTTGACTGTCAACTCGACAGGTCCAGATTCACCTACGAGATGGCTCTCTAGGTGAGTCTGTGAGGGGGGATTCCTAGACGGGGCTAACTGAGACGGGAATTCCCACCCTGAAGGTGGGCAGCACCAATCTACCGGCTAGGACTCCAAACATAGTAAAGGGGAGGACATGATGAGGTTCAATGAGAAAAGTAAGTGCCACCTCCTCGGGCAGCCTTCCGAGCTCCCTCTCTGCAGGCAGCATGCCCAGCTGTCTCCCACCGCTCCTGGCTAACTCCTCACACTTCCTCTGTGGTGTTACAGACAACGCATGGCTCATTGGGTTGGGTGCTCAGTGCTCAGCATCTCAGACCTCACAATTGCTCTGCACCTTCCACAGTGGGGGAAACTGAGGTTCTAGGGTGAGTGAGGTTCAAGAGGAGCAGGGAACTAAAGCAGCTGGATTCCCAAGTCCACCCTGTCCCCAGGCCTGTCCACCCAGGGACATAGGGCCCAGAGCAGAGCCTCCAAGGGCGCTCTGGGACTCCAGAGACCATGCTTGGGCAAGAGGAGAGGAGGATTGTGTATGTCTGAGTGGGGAGGGTTGGGACAGGAGACCGGAGAGGCGCTGACCTTGCGGTGCTGCTCATAGTTGCGGATGAAGTCTCGCAGCTGCTCCTCTCGGCTCTCCAGCGTGGCATACAGCTGCTGCATCTGGCTCACCAAGTCAGTCTTCTCGCCCTTTAAGCGCTTCCGGTCGGCTTTCATGGCTGTGAACAGGAGAGGGCATTAGTTAGCTCCTGATGCCCCAGCCATTCCTCTGGGTGCCTTCTGCCAGGTGAGAAAATGGGGTCCATCTGATACTGTGTCTCTCCTGGACCCCCGCACCACTGCAGTGTCCCAGAATTGGGACCCAGGCCTGCTGTGTGAATGGTCCCAATTTCATCTCTCTGATCTGACTATTTACAATGGAAGCGCTATGAGCGTGCATGGCCGGCGTCAGGGGCTCATACGAAGGGAGGTCCTAACCCTGCGGTTGAAATGAGCCCCAGGGTCACCCCCACACGCCCTGAGCCCATAGAACATCTCAGCCCTGTCCAAGGACTCTTGTCAGTCCAGTCTCACTTGGTTCTTAACATGTAAGGGTTAATGACACACAAGATAAGACACCTAACATTATGGGCCATACAGGGCTGGACTCCGTCAAATTAAAAACTCTCTGCCCCACAGGCAAACAGGGAGAACAGGAAAAGACAGCCCACAGAAGGGAGAAAATACTTGCAAATCCCATATCCAATAAGAGACATCTAGAATATATATTAAAAAAAAAAAAAAATCCCAAGCCAGCAGAAAGGCTCGGCTGGTACACGTGACACGATCAAGCCTGACAACCCGGGTTCAATCGCCAGAACCCACTTGGTGGAAGGACAGAGCTGACTGCAATACGCTGTCCTCTGACTTCCACATGTATCCTGTAATGCAAGCGTGATACACATATGCATGCACGCACAAATTATATGCAATAAAAAATTAAAAATACATTCTCACAACTCCACAATAAAAAGATAACTATTGGGGCTGGAGAGATTGCTCAGTGGTTAAGAGCACTGTTGCTCTTGGAGAGGACCAGAGTTCATTTCCCATCATCCACTCTGCCTCACAACTGCCTCCAATTCCAGTGATAGGAATTCTGATGCCCTCTTCTGGCTTCTGTGGGCATTGCACTCATGCACACACACACACACACACACACACACACACACAGGTTTATTAGACACCTGTGATGGTTGATTTTGATTGTCAATGTGACAGAAGTAAGAAATGCCTGGGAGACTAGTGAGCACACACTATTGTGTTTCTATCTTATTTGGCCCCAAAGCAACAATGCTCACCAACTGTGTACCGAAACCCCAAACAACACAAATCAAAGTAAATCTTTCTTTAAAATGGTTTCTTTCAACCCACAGAGACAGCTGACCTGAACAAGGAGGAGCCAATGGGCCCCCAGACTGATAGCTGGGAAACCAGCATTGGACCGACTCAGACCCCCTGAACGTGGGTCTCAGTTAGAAGGCCTGGGCAGTCTAGGGACCTCTGAGAGTGGAACCAGGAGGTATCCCTGGTGCACAAAAGGACGTTGGGAGCGCATTCCCCATGGAGGTTAATGGAGCGCATTAACCTAGAGGCAAGAGAGAGGGCTTAGGCCCTACTCCAAATGACTTGACAGATTTTGTTGACCCCTCCTGGAAGGCATCACCCTCCCTGTGGAGTGTGTGTGTATGGAAATGGGATGGGAGGGTGGTCAGGGGGCATGGGAGGGAGGGAGAAAAGGAGGGAGAGGGAACTGGGATTGATATGTAAAATAAGAAAATAAATAAATAAATAATAAAATGGTTTCTTTCAGGTTGTATGCCACACAACTCATTTACATACTAAAAAGAGAAAATGAGTCTACATCCTATTTTTTTTAAAAAAGAAGTTAAAAAAAAAAAATCTTTATATAGCTGCCCAAGAGATGACTGGGAAGTACAGAATGGAATGCCACAAGGACCAGTCTACCTTTGGATGGGCTGAAATTAGACAGACAGCAAGGAGTGTGGGCTAGACCTGGATCCCTACACGTTCTCACGCATGCCAGGCCACACAAAATGCAGGCGCCTTGGAAAACAGACTGGCACTTTCTCAAAAGACCAAACATACACTCACCATATGGCCATCACTTTCACTACCAGAAATACACCAAAGATAGAGAAAATCACCAGGCTGGGGATGGAAATCAGCTAGTAAAATGCTCACCCAGCACACACCGGGTCCACCATCCTGCATTTCATGAACCAGACACAGTGGCTGGACATGGTGGTTCACACCTGTAGTCCCAGCACTCAGAAGGTAGAGGCAGGAGGAATGGAAGTTCAAGGTCATCCCTGGCTACATAGTGGGTTTGGGGCTAGCCTGATCTAGAAACTTGACCTCAAAATGAGAGAGGAGGGAGAGAACCAAAACCAAATGTAAAATTTTATATAGAGGGGCTGGAGACGACACACCCATTAAGAACATGCACTGCTCTTGTGGAGGACTAGAGTTTGGCTCCCAGAACCTACACCATCCACCTCACAACTGCCTGTAACTCCCCCTCCAGGGAATCTGGTGCCCTCTTCTGGCCATCATGGAAACCTGCACTCATGTGAACATACCCACCCAGGCATATACAGGATTAAAAATCAATACTTAAGAGACCTTTGTATACAAGTAAGTGCAACTCATAATAAGCACAATCCAAATGTTCAGCCAGGAATGGTGAATGACAGAATGAGACCCGTCTGCACAGTGAAGCACGATTGGACAATGCAACACTAGGCAAACACAGCCGGTTGCATCCAGTCACTGACAGCTACGAACTGTGAGTCCACTTACACAAAATGTCCCCAAGAGGAAACCCGGGCACACAGAACAGAGAAGCAGATGGTGAAGGCAGGGATGTGGCGTGACTACAAAGGGTGGGGCCTTTTCTGAGGTGAGACAATTCCAGTGCCCGGGCTGTCCCGTGCTCCAACTCTGACTGTGTTAAAAATCACTGCCCCATGATGTGCCAGTGGGTGAATCGGGATATGTGTGAATTCCACCTCAGAACTACTTAAACAAATCAAACAGGCTGTCACATACTCCCAGGAAAAGGCAAAGCAACATGCACCGCCCCCTCCCCATCCCCATGCTGTGCCTACGGCTGGGTGGACAGAGCAGCCTCAGATCAGGATGGGACCGAAGGGCTTCCGCACAGCTCCACGTTAGTCCTTGCATAGGATGGCAGAGAAGGGTTTCTCAGGCTCACTATGGAGGTGGCTGGAGGAGGGTGAAGTAAGTCCTGGGTTCTGGAACCTGAGAAGGCCCAGAGTGATTGAGTCTTTTGTCTGGAGGCAAATAGCCATGTGCAGCTCCAAGGCCTGTACAGTCGGCTCCTCAGATCTGAGGGTCTCCTGTGTATGAGGCAGGCAGTGTCTGCACGTGCTATCATCTTGTTTTGCACCCACAATCCTGCAGGCTCAGCCTGTGTGCATGAAGGGATTAGGGAAGAGGGATGGGAGGGGGGCAGGCCCAGGAATCAAGAACCCTAGCCCCTGGCCTGACAGCCAACATAAGCTAATGTGTTCCTGGGCCTCCTGCCCTTTGGCCCTCCCCCTGGGTAGAACAGGTGGGAGAGGAGGCATCTGGGGCCATTGCCACTGCACACAGAGAGCCCCAGGGAAGCTCACACAGTGGGGGCTCCAGGACTGGTCAGCACTCAAAATTCCGGCTTTGAGCTTCCCGGTGAACCCTGCTGACTCGGTCCTCTTCACAGTCAGCTTGGCTGCATGGCAGCTGAGGTCACCTGGGCTAGGCTTCCAGACCTACTGTGCCGAAAGCTTGCAGGGTGGAGCCAAGGATACAGCTGGGCCAGCTCTCTGCCCTGCCTCCAACGGGTGCAGCCCTTTACTGGGGAACCTGGCTTTAAGAAACTCCAACACCCAGGGAAAGCAAGATGGCTTAGTGAGTAGGCACTTGCCACTAAGGCCGACAGCTTGAGTTGGAACCCCTGGAACACTCATGGTGGGAGAGAACTGACTCCTGCAAGTTGTCCTCTGACTCCCTGCATACACAAATAAATAAATAAATAAAACGACTTACATACAAAGAAACTCCAAGATCTGACAAAGTCACCTAGTCTGCAAGCATCCTCCAGGCAAGCCTGGGCCAGCACCACAGGGCATCCCCACCTGCCACTGTCTGGCATTTCAGATGCATTTTTATGGAGCTGGGAGGATGAGTCATCCTATCCCATGCCAGCGAGGCCATTCTGGCCATGCAGCGAGGTAGGGCAGAACTGGGGTGCACCAGGGTTAATGGTCTGGCTCATTTAGGTGTGACACTGGTAAGAGGCACTGGAGAGCAGAGAGTGTCCTTGAGGCCTTGGTTGGTCCTCTCCAACCCTTACCACCTTTGTCCTTTGGTTAGAAACCGAACCCCTGGGATTCTAATTTGCCCCACCCAGCATAAGCTTTATCCAAGCTGGGAATAGGGGCACTGGAGAGGCAGAGGCAGGTAGGATCTCTGTGAGTTCAAGGACAGCCTGGTCTACAGAATGAATTCCAGGATAGCAAGAGCTACACAGAGAAACCCTGTCTCGAAAAACAAAAACAAAACAAAAAAAAACCAAAAAAAAAAAAAAAAAAAAAAAAAAAAAAATAAGCAAGCTTTTTTCTAGTAAGAACCAGCCTTTGCTCTCAGCTTCTTGCAGACCCAGCAAGGTCGGGACGCCTTGAGACAGGACAGCATGCCCCAGTGTTGGAGGGGCTCCCTGTGATGTGCAGCCAAGGCATTCCCAACTCACAGATGTGGGCACCTGTTCTGAGGTACCACTTCTGGTTCCTGCTGTGGAATATTCCTTCACACTGTGCGAAAGAATATAAGTCGCTGTGATTGGCTTAATAACAAGCTGACTGGCCAAGAGCTGACCAGGATACAGTTAGGCCTGAGAGCCAGCCTGAGGATGACTCGAGGAGAAGAGGGACAAAGTCAGGAGTCGCCAGGCTGACACAGAAGGAGCCGGAAATACGTGAACGTGCCATCCTAGTAAAAGGAGCTGCCACATATCAGAGCGCCAATAAGGAATATGGATTGTCTTAGGATGTAAGAGCTAGTTAGTAATGAGCTGAGCATTTGTAATTTGTGTTCAGCCTCTGAGTTGGTTATTTGGGACTGGTCGGTCGGGACACCATTTTCAGGCCCCATCTCA